TGGGGGGGGGGGTGCAAGGGGGTTCTCACTCCAGTTGGACTGCTGTGACCTGTCAGCGACGAATTTGTGTCACAACCGGCTGGGATACCTAAGGAACAAATAGGGATTCTCTTCCAAATTTTCCAACCAGCCATAAAGCAAAAATTGCCTTGAGCTGTCAGCGAAAAATCCATCATGCTACGTGCGTGGAAATGCAGCTGTTCCTGTTGCTTCTCCTTATAATTTCTTGAATTGGCAACCAGCTTTTTTTCAATGGCATCTATCCCCTGGCACTTGGTCCAGGATTTTTTAGACGTGTGTGACATCCAAACAATTTAGAGGAAGGTATGACTATCTCATGGCGGGCTGATCTGCAAAGTTACTATTGCTCTTACTTAACTGGTCTCTGTAATTCCAGGAAATGGAAGGGTGGGTTACATTTTTAACAGGCTCCTCCCTTTGTAAGGATGTGTTCCCTCTGAGATTCTACACAAGATATAGACAGAGTCTTCTTGTGCTTGACTGTCCATGAGCTTGGATCTCAAACAACGTCCCAATCTGACTCTTCGTCCTCTCTCCTGGGACTTCCTTCACAGCCACCGGTAAGTATTTTGGTCTATTTGAGATGAGAATCTTCATGGGTTAGTGAAGTCCAAGCTTTCTGTTATTCATGAAAAGTCAGTGATACTGTATGCCTAATTTTTAATTGCCACCTTCCTTCAATGGGGTGGGATGGCAGAGGGAAGCCGTTTTCTTTTTTCAGAGGAGACTCCAGATTCCATGCAATCCACTGAGACATTCATGGATATCATCTTGGTTTCTTATAAAGAAGAAAACGATGGGGGGAGAAGATCTTCTCTTTCCGTAGACCATCATTTCTTCAGCAGTTTCCTGCCTTCCAGCTTTTCAATTAAATCGCCAGAGGATAATCTCAGTAGGAAAACCTCTCCCCAAGCACTCTTTCAAGCAGGAGGCTGGGGGGGATTTTAGGCTAATGGGAAAAAAACAACAATAGTGCCACAAACAAGCAAAAGGAAAAAAAACCCCCTTCTCTCTAATATATTCTATCCATTCATAACAATGGAGCACCCACAAAAACTTGTAAAGCTTGCTGACAAGGAGGTTTTGAGAAACACATGCTTATTTTGTAAAAGGGGAGAAGGGGGCAAAGACACTAAACTTTTAGGAAACTGGAAATCAGGTTTTAGCGTAGTGTTGCCATTTTCATTTTGCCCAATGCAAAAATAAACTTGCCATTAAACTTCTGAGATAGCAAATTGAGTATCCTCTCTTTAATATTGTTTGTTAAGGGAAGCCCACCAGTCTATGTCTGAGTGACTACTACTTACTTTTGTCCTAGGTTGGGGCTGGAGAGAGTAGCTGGCCCCTTTAACAGGCTGGCCCAAAGGGATCTTAGCTGGAAATGTAAGCTGTTGGATTGTGGTTGCCCCCACCCAAATAAAGACAGTTCTTTGATGTAGTAGCGCTGGTGTTCTCGGTTTCCCTCTGTTCATTGCATCCGTTTAGAAATGAATCAAACCAATCGGCTGTCTGCACAAGGGGGGTGATCTCGTAAACGGCTCAAAGGAGTGGGGAAAGGGTGAGCAGATACGGGGCTGGTGTTAGAGAGATCGTATAGAAAGAATTAGTGCTGAACCTTTTGACATTTTATTGACAAAAGGATTTGGAAGTTTTGTAGGTAAGTAACCCAGCTGTTATTCCAGGGGCAAAGCAGATGAGGATTCCAAATCAGGGAGTGTCATCTCAGTGCCTGTTCTCAATGTGCTAGATCTTTCCGTCACTCAAGAGGATAAGTATGACAGTCTTCGTGTTCATCTCATCTGGGCTTCTCCCCTTCCAGGGCTTTTGACTTTGGACTTGAAGGGACACTTCATGTTCTATATAACATGGTATTACAAAACATTTGCCTTGTTAAGCAGTAGAGATGGTGAGCTTAGGAAGAAAAGTACTGGGTGAAGCAGACAGGCTTTGTTTTTTCCTACTCAGAATTCCAAGGGATTTTTCATGGGAGAACTGTGGCATTCTGGCATTTATTGAATTATAAAATGACCAAGAACTGTGCACGAATGTCCTGCTTTTCTCTCCAACCATCTGCAGGTTTCCCTTTTTGCCCTGCTTATCCCCGGCAGTCTAGATGGGAACTAACTAAACAGGTTCAAAAAAATCCGGGAACTTCAGCAATGTCATTTAATTGTAAAAAGCTAAGAAGCCATTATGAAAAAATTTCAGTGAATGTTGTGCATCAAACATGAGCTCTGTTGATAAGAGATTTTCAAATCTCTTTTACTTCTTTTTCCTGTTGTCAAGCCCACTCACTGTTTTATACACAGGGCTAGAAGAGGTGCTATTTTGGGCAGAAGATCAGACTCCATTTGTTTCTTGTTTCGTAATGGCCTAATTTAATCTCAAGTTGTTTATTTTTGCATGAGTGGTAACTCACATTGGCATCCCTGGTTTCATTAAATTCCAGTAGCAGGCATCATGAGGAAATGGTGGTACCACTGTCATCTCTAAAGGAAAGTCCTACTCTTAAGAAATAGTGGCAGGCATTCTCTATCTCCTGGAGAGGTTTAGAGAAATTCTCCATCCCTTTTTTCTGCTCAAAACTTTGGTGGATAATTTTGAAAGACCATTTGCATACAACCTGAAGTGAGATACTGAAGGATGGAGCTACTGGGACTTTGCACCTTGCCCTGCACACTCTCAGCTGTCCTGCTGTTCATGAGCACAAGAGTCTGACTCATCACCAGAGATGAAGTAAGAGTCGACCATTGGTATAGGTGACTTCTGTACTTTGAAAGAAGGAGGCACTATTTTAATCTTCACCTTAAGCAGTACCACAGTTTGGACTATCCTTAGTCTGTATCCACATGTATTTGCTGGAGTTCAGAAATTTGGAATCCTGTTTTCTAATGGTACCAGACAGGAAGAAGACAATTCTATTACATGCATGGGCTTAATGGGAAAAATTCAGTTTTCTCGTGAAGTGAGTTGACTATCTAGCCCAGTGTTTCTCAACCATGGCAGCTTTAAGATGTGTGGACTTCAACTGCCAGAATTTCCCTGCCAGCATGTCCACACATGTTAAAAGTTGTTGAGGTTGAGAAACACTGATCTAGGCCCTTCCCTCCATTTCTCTTTCCTTTGTCAACTTTTTAGCAGCTAACACTTGGCTCTACAGCCCTTGGGATAGAAAGCTACTTTTGTTCCCATGCACAAGCGTTCCATGCAAGTTTTATTATCATCATTATTCCCCCCCCCCCCCCAAAGCCTGGAGAACTGTTGAAAGCCTTTCTACTGTTGAAGAAAGAACAGCTGAGATTGATATGGCAAACATTCTCCAACCTATCAGAGGACCAGCAATGAGAAGCTAAGCTGACACCTTCTAACTAATTTAAACCAACTACTTTGGTTGTTCCTGTGTGATGCAGAAAGATTAAGGACTGAGAGGCCAGGGAGCTTATATGGGACCATTGACGGTTACCATTGTTGGATCTTACTCAAGTATAACAATTGAATAGGACTGTCAGGGAGTGATAGTTCACTAAGTTCATGAGGCTTAGACCAGAGAGACTGTTCTTCAAATCTCTATTTAAGGTAAAAACTCTGTGTTATTTTATAGGCTGAATGCCACTGAGTGGGTGGATCAGTCTTGGCCCCATTTAGTGGAAACAGATCCTGGCTATGGTTTGAGGCAGACCCTGAGTGGGGCAGCTTAGTTAAAATTCTATCCAGTCCCACCCAACTGGTTAAGATCAAAGAAGCAAGATTTATACAGATTTTGGTAGGATATCTTTAATGTTAGTCCGGGGTAAATACAGAATCTTGGATACTGTAAAAGGAATTTCCTATTCTCAGTTAAGGCAGACTCTCTTGTTGCTATTTGAAATGCTTCTTCCCAGATTTCACTCCACCTGGGCTAAATGGCCATTTCTGAGATAAGCTGACTCACTCTCTGTCTCTTGATTTTTTATAGCGGTCTTCCCTTCCCCTCCTTTCCCTTGCAAGCTTTCACAAACTCCATAGTGCCATATCCAATATATGCACACTGTGGAAAGGGAAACTGATGCATTTAAGATGGAATGTAAGGTTGGGCATACAAGCTGTGGCTCTCTGCAGTAGGTCTGTGCACACTTTGAAAATGATGGGGGAGACGTTCTTTGAAGCACACACACAAGCAGATCACCTCTCTGCTAGTCATTCAAACATTTCATCTTGTTTCTGGCTTACGGGCAAACCTAAAAATAAGAGTACAGTTTTGCAAGAGCATCTTTGTTTTCGTTTTTTGACCGGCGATGCTGCGCTCAAGGGAGTTCCAAAGCACTTTTCTCAATCATTTTGAAGGGTGCACAGGGCTTGTAATTAATTTCACGTAGGGTTTTTCGTTTTGTTTTGTTTTCATGATACCCAACCTGCAGCCAAAAGAGAATGATCTGCAGTATTGTCTCAGACTAATAGTTAGCTACAGGCTTGCCTGTATAAGCTAATCTTTCTGCAGTATGGAGATTTTCAAACACAGCAAATTAACTCAAATATACCTAGGACTGGAATTATGCCCAGGATGAGGGAAACGTCGGGAAGAATAAGAACAGCTCATGTTGTATTGTCATATCCAAAGCAAAGAGGGATAAAACAAATAGATGGCTATGCCTATATATCGTGTCTATAGTATTTGCATATATTCAGATAAGTTTAGAAGTTTGGAGAGAGAAAAAATCAGCAGCCTTGGGAATTTCTGCATCCTAACCCAAATATATTAAAACCCAAATATATTAAATATGTCTGGCTGTGAAAGCCACTTTTGTGAGAGATGACCCCGAGTCACTGGCACATTTTTCTATCCAGGCAAATCATGCAGAAGTGAGACTAGATGATAACAGCTAGAGTATGCATGGACAATAGACAGCTATATCCAAATTTAGCCTTACAGAACGTGATTGGGTAGCTAGAGAAGTGGAAGTCAAAACAGAAGGAGCAGTTTGTCTGCTAGTCAAAGAGGTCTTTTCTTGAAGAGAACTTCTCTGTTTTTTGCACTGTATGGGAAAAGCCAATCTTGCCATGATTCGCTGTGAGTCCCATGGCTCAGGAATCAGTCTGGGAAGGACAGCAATGTAAATCCCCATCCTCCATCTGAAGCCTTGTGTCTTCTCCCTTTCAAACCATCAGCAGTGATCATCAGCCAACAGGGACGTTGAGAGGGATTTCTGGGCTGCCCAAATTAAAATTAGCTGAGAAGAGGTGGAGGAGGAGCCTCCTGCTTGCTGTAGTCCAGGTGAAAGGGTTGCGATGATCTTGAATTGGGCCCTTGGCTGCATCAAGAGCTGGAGCAAAGGGTTCCTTCAAAGTAGCATCTCAAAGGATGAAGTGCCCTGCTTTATCTGGTGGAAGTGTCCACTGTGTATGCATAATGCGTGCACAGAAGCCACTTCCACTGAAGTGAAGTGGACAGGAGAGGCAGACTGCTCCCACCCTGTTTTTTCACAGAGGTAGAGCAATTTGCCTTGAGGGGCCACTTCACTGCCACCTCTGGAAGGCGAAGCACCTTCTCAAGGGAGGTCCTCCGCAGTCCACGCAAAAGGTCGTTCTTCAGTAATGATCAGAGACAACTTTGAATTCGCACAGTACTTAAACAACAGTTTTGCAAGTGTTTCAGAGTCTCTTTGTTTATGGATGCCTTGTGTGTTGTTTTGCAGAACCTTCAGGCCACACAATTCTATTCCTTCAAGAAGAGATTTTTCCCACCGTGCCTAACTCATCACCATGCAGCTTCTCCTGGGGCTCTTCCTCTTCTCTTCCTCAGTCCTCCTGACTGCAGGTATGATCAGGGTTGTTCTCTTGGGGGTCAGTGGAATTCAGGAGGATCCTCCACACTGGCAACTTGGGGGTCACCTAGGGACTGTGAAAAGCCTCTGGAACTCCTCAAAGATGGAGTGGTTTGCTGGAAAAAAAAAAGTGGGCATAGAATCCAAAAAGGCCAAGGTTCATCTAACAGTCCTCAAACGTCCCACACTCATGTCCTTTCATCTGCTCAGGTCAGCCTGGATTAACCATTAAGCAAAATAAGCACTTGCTTAGGGCGCCAAGGAAAGGGGAAATGAAAAAAAAGAAAAAGAACAAATATAAGGAAGTGGCTTCTGATCTTCTTTACAGCAGTTATAAATGCATTTATATTTTGCCCTCTTCCTCTAAGGTTACATCACAGTTTCCTTCTTTCCGTACGTTACCCTTTCTAATTGTCAAACCCATAAATCACAAGTCATTTTTCTCTTTTTCCAGCAAAAAATCCATAAGAGGTTCCCAACCACAATAAATGTAGTTGCTGATCTTTCTCTAATCAAACAAATCAATTTTGCCAGCTCTGCTAGTTCTGTCATCTTCACCATCCATTCCTGTCTCTCGCAGGTATCTCACAGTCTTTCCATGTTTGCACCGATAGTCATCTTATAGCAGGGATCGTATATAAAAATAGTTTTCTGTGACTCTTTTCTAATTGTCTACCCATTGATCCCAGCAAGAAAAGTTCTGGTTTCACGATTTTAGTTTTCAAAGGCAAAGAAAATTCCGGTAGAGCTCTGCTAAGGGGTGCAACGATTTGGCACTTCCCTTTGTTACGTAAAAGTAAAGAACACCCCAAAAACAGGCGCATGTTGTGGTGTCCACAGCTATGCTGTTTATTGGCAGCGTTCCAGAAGTGCTTAATCATCATCTTTATCTGGGATATTCTGACTGGAAAGCCGCCCGGTTAATTCCAATTTAACGGCAGTAAGCAAATGGGTGGAGAGTGCTCTGATGCTTGATTGATTTGTGTGAGAACAGGGTGTCCTCTTAGGGGAGCAGGCAAACGTTAGCAAGCAAGCATTTCGCCAAGATGCTTCTAACATCATGACATCACCTTTCCTATGGAACAAACAATGGGTGATGTAGGAAAAAACAAGCTTTCCTTGCAAAGAGATGTCATTATTTCTAATTTGCTACTTCCCGCAGGAAATTTGAACAGATACCAAATGGAACAAGGGCAATTTGTTTTTACTTTTTTTCAAACCCAGTGTTTCTCAACCTTGGCAGCTTTCAGAGGGATGGACTCCAACTCCCAGAATTCCCCAGCAGATCTAACCTGTTCTGCTTTTCCCTTATTCCTTTCCCTCCCTGCTGGTACGGAGTTGAGTGCACTTATCTACCTCACAATGGTTTCTCTCTGGATCAGTTCTTCAACTTGTTCTAAGTCTACCTTAATACGTCTCGGACTGTGTCTGCTAATGTTTGTGCTGATTTCGGGGAGGGGGTCCTCCATTTCTTTTTTCTTTTTTTACTTCCCAGCCTAATCTTGGAATTCCCACCCTGTCCCCCATCCCAGAATTAATTGAGGCTGACCCTGCTCAGCTTCGCGGATCATCCAGAGTTGGCTAGCTGCTGGTGGCCCCCAAGATTTCTCAGGCAGCAAAGGAACATTTATACAGCTTGACTTTTTTGAACTAAACGAATGGGGATATTTATATTTTTAACGGTTTTCGGGTTTTCCTTTCATTGTGAGCCGCCCAGCGTCACCCTCCGGGGGAGATGGGCGGCATATAAATTTCATAAATAAATAAAAAATAAAAAGTGGGTAATTTATCTGACAGCAGTGGACCGACTCCTGGGCTTCCCCATTTTGGTTCAATCCTTAGGAAAAATATTGCAAGGGAACTAATCCCCTGGGATACTTCATTATACCAGAAATTCTTTACAACAGACTGATCCAGCTTACTGTGCCTGATCATACCTGTAGGTGGATAATCAGTTTTCTAACAGATAGGAAACATGACGTGAGGTTAGGCAACACCGCATCCAGTACCCGGTTAATTAGTACAGGTGCCCCTCAAGGATGTGTGCTTTCCCCGCTGCTTTTCTCCCTTTATACCAATGACTGCATTTCAAAAGACTCTTCTGTTAAAATTTTGAAATATGCAGATGATGCAACTGTCATTGGTCTAATTCGAAATGGAGATGAGTCAGCCTACAGACGGGAGGTTCGACAACTGGTCTTGTGGTGTGGTTATAATAACTTGGAACTAAATACACTTAAAACCGTGGAGATGATTGTGGATTTTAGGAAGAATCCTTCGAATACCCCTCCCCTTACCATACTCGACAGCCCAGTATCAGTGGGAGAGTCCTTCAAGTTCCTGGGTTCTATAATTTCCCAAGACCTGAAATGGACGCTTAACTTTACAGCCATCGTTAAAAAGGCACAGCAAAGGATGTTCTTCCTGCACCAACTTAGGAAGTTTAAATGATCCCAGGAGCTCTTGGTATAGTTTTACAGGGGAATCATTGAGT